TTTGAAGGCTGCAGAGGGCTCAGCACAGGAAATAAAGTTTAGGTCAGATTACTCTACATCACACTGAGCTCCCAAAAGGCTCTACCTTGGTGTAGGGGCCGATGAGAAATAAATCCATCACACAGAAGGGGGCAGTGAGGATGCTTTATTTCACATTTCAGTTTGGTGGGAGTGGACTGAGAACCCTTAAGTACAAGGTGTCCCTGTAAAAAAAGGTGTGGTCTGTAAATCCACAAGCACAGAATTTAAGGTGGTCCCAGTTAGGTAGACCCATTGCACCCCAAGCCACTAGCAAAAGAAAATGCAAGTGCTGTCTGGAGAAATTCAACTTAATTCAGCCTTCAAGTGTTTCTTAGAAACAACATTCCAAAGAGAATGAGCAAGTCATCGTTAGGAATTACGTAAAATCAAGGAGACAATCACTATGAGAGAGAAACCATGGATGGTAGGCTGAAAGAGATTCACAAAGACCTCAGATCCTGGAAGTGACAAAAATATAAAAGTATTTTATACATTTTTAAAAAAAGAAACTTGAAAATCTGTACAGGGAACAAGAGATAGAATCAAGCATATTTTAATAAGAAAGGAAAAATATAATTGAAATTTACATATTTGAATAAAACATTCCAGAAAGAACTAATAGAATGAGGAAGAGACACCATTCAAAGAAAAAATGGAGAGTTTTCCAAATTGTTTGAAAGACCCCAATCTTCAGATTAAGCCCAACAAACCTCAAACACATTAATATTTATAGACATAGATGTAGATATAGATAACAAAGAAAAAAGTACCTATCAAAACCATTGGAGAGGACAGTATCACTTACAGAAGTGGCTATTAAATGAATAATGAAATTCTTAACATCAGCAATGGAAACCAGAGACAGTAAAATAATTCAAAGTATTGATTAAATAACAAAGAATTCTATGCCAAGTGAAACAAGGGAAAGTGCCAAACAAACTTAAGAATTTACCACCAAATGGCCCTCACTAAATGGATCCTGAAAGATGTGATTCAGACCGAAGGAAAATAACCTCAGACGCATGGTCTGAGTTTTAAGGAGAAACAGTGAACTAAGATAATTATGTGACAATCTAAAGAAACCGTTGATTATGAAACAAAGATAATTTGTGGAGAAAAATAAAGCAGGCTAGATGTAAAATGCCAAGTTTCAGTCACATATAAGTTTGAAGGGGGAATGCAAGGCCCAATATTAACTTATTAATGTGTATGAAATAAGGCAAACACTAATAGGATAGATTCAGTGTATATCGTCAGTAGAAGTGGAGAGAAAAGAGTCAATACGCAAAAGAAAATAAAAGAGTACAAATGAAGGAAGAGAAGGGAAAAAAACAAGTAAACTAGAGCAAATCAAATGCTCAAAATGTGATGTCATAAATAAAACCAAGTCACTAATCACAATAAGCGTAAGCGGACTAAATTCTCCAGTTAAGGTTTTGTTATATTTTAGAAACAAAACAAAATTCAGCTATGTGCTTATTAAACAAAAACACCTAAAATACAGAAAGATTAAAAGTCAAACAATGGAAAAGATCAACCAGGAAAATAACCCAAAGCAGGCAAGTATAGTCATATTAATAGTAAAGGATAATTTAGGCAAAAAGTATTACAAGAAATTTCCTACATAATGATAATTCCACTTACTAGGAAAAGGTATTGATTCTAAATGTACGTATATATGAAGTGTGTATAACCTCATGATATATAAGACTAGACTGACAGAATTAAAAGGAAAAATTTTAAATCCATCATCACAGTAGAAGATTTTAACACACGTCTCAGTTATTAGTAGATCAAACAGACCAAAAATCAGTAAGAAAGTAGAAAATGTGAACGGTAACACTACAGAGCTTGAATTAATGGGCTTTTACTGCCTTTGACATTTGGAAAAGACATGCTTCTTTCAAACACACGTGGAACCATTGCTGGGATTGACACAACCTAATCATAAGGCTTGACCAATACACTTCAAAGGACTGAAATACTCCTAACCACACTTCTTACTGCAATGCAATTAAGTTGGGAAACAAAGCATGTAAGATAATTAGAAAAGTTCACTCACTTGGAAAGTTAATAACACATCAACGTATGGGTCAAAGGAGATATCATAATTGAAATTAAAAGATTTCACCATCTAGTTTTTTACATCAGACACGTGGAATACAATACATGGAAGGAAATATAGAGCACTAAGTGTTTGCCTTAAAAAAAAAAAAAAGCTCAAAATGGAGCTAAGATCTAATTGAATCAAAGACCCACAGAAGTAGAAGGAAGGAAATTAAAAGGACAGAAATTAGTGAAAGAAACACAAAAGAAGAAATCAACAAAACAAAAGACAAAAGCTATATATTTGAAAAGGCATGATTCGTTTAAAAAAACACACACACAAATGGAACAAAAAAGTGTAAGTGCAGAAGCTGCAGAGAAAGACGAGGGAGTAAGAACTGCTCTCAACACACTTCAGAACTTTAATATCGTGGATGACTTCCTAGAAAGACAGAACTTAGCAAAACCAACTCAAAGAGAAACACAAAATCGGAGTCATCCTTTGCTGTAAAAGAAATACAACCAACAGTCAAAATTTTTCCCATAAAGAAACCAAGTCGAAATAGCTCTATCTGAATGCTGCTAAACATTCAGGAAACAACAGTTTCATTCTCACCATTCTTACACAGAGACTAGAAAACAAAACACTCTCAATTCATTTATGAGGCCAATATAATCTCGACAGCCAAACTGTAAGAACACAACCAGAAAGAGGAGTACAGGCCAATTCAATCTTTATGAACATGAAGATGCAAAATTCTGAACAAAAGTTACCAACCCAGATCCAGCAATGAATAATAAAAGATGATACATCATGATCAAGTTAGGTTTATTCCAGCGACTTGACTACTATTAGAATTGTTATCAATAAAATTCACCTTAGTAACAGATTTAAAAGGAAAACATCTCAATAAAGAAAAAAAATAGAATTAAATATCCATATACTGTATGACATTTAAAAAAGTTTAAGCATATTTTTAGAAGGAAATTTTTTTAACTTGAAAAAGGAGATATACAAAAAAAAAAAAAATCCAGCAAGCATAGTTAAGGAAGTTAAGTAGAAACATAGAAAGCAGTCCCTTTAAGGTAAGGAATGAAGCAAAGATGTCCTCCATCATCCACTTCACTCCTCTTTAAGATTGCGTTGGGATTTGAGCCAGCTCTGTATAGTCAAAAAAAAAAAAAAAGAAACAAAAATTTTAAGAGTGGAAATGTAAAATGGCACGCTGCTGTAGAAAACAGTATGGAGGGTTCCTCAATTTTTTTTTTTTTTTGAGACAGAGAGTCCCACTCTGTTGCCCAGGCTGGAGTGCAGTGGCATGATCTTGGCTTACTGCAACCTCTACTTCCTGGGTTTAAGCGATTCTCCTGCCTCAACCTCCCTAGCAGCTGAGATCACAGGTGCCAGCCACCACGCCCAGCCAATTTTTGTATTTTAGTCCACCTTGGCCTCCCAAAGTGCTGGGATTACAAGCATAAGCCACCATGCCTGGCTCGATTCCTCAAAAATTAAATATAGGATTAATATATAATCCAGCATTTCCAAAGATAATTGAAAGCAGGGATACAAAAAGATACCTGCACACCCTCGTTCACAGCAGCGTTATTCACAGTAGCCGAGAAGCAGCCCAGGTATCCATTGGTGGTTGAATGGACAAGCAAAAGTGGTGAATCCATACAATGGAATATTATTCTGCCTTAAATAGGAAGGAAATTCTGACACATGCTACAACATGGATGAACCTCGAGGTCATTATGCTAAGTGAAATACGCCAGACACAAAAAGGCAAATACTGTATTAGACTACTTATATGAAGTCCTAAAGTGGACATTCAGTGTCTCTCCTAGAGAGACAGATAGTAGAATGGGGGTTGCTAGGAGTTGGGGGTAGGAATGAGCAGTTAGTGTTTAAAAGATACAATATAAATTTCGGAAGATAAAAAAGTTCCAGAGATGGATGCTGGTGATTGTTGCACAACAATGTGAATATACTTAGCCACTGAATTGTACACCTAAAAATGCTTAAAATGGTAACTTTTGTGTATATTTTACTACAGTTTTAATTTGTTTGGATCCTCAAGGAAAAAAAGAATGGCCTTTGTTTATGATTGTCCATAAACACTGCTGCTCTCAATCCAGTGCTTCCTACTGGGTGCAGGATTATTGATCACATAGGGTTTGTGAATGGGAGGGTGTTTCAGAGGCTATCTGCAAAATTGCATGTAATTTTTCTGAGGAAAAGAGCATAAAGCTTTCATCAGACTGTCAGAGGAGTCTGTGACACACAAAAGTCTAAGACCCATTCTGAGTGGCCCCTCTAATGCTGTTAATCTCCTCCCCCATCTCATTCCCTGCAATTCTGCATAGGCTGAGACCAGACTCCCTCCTATCAGCAGAGGCTCAGATCCTTCACTTAGCCGCGCCCCCCACCCCCCCACTTCCTCTTCTCCCTCTTCTCACCCAAATGCCACCTTTCTTTCATTCACTCAGGTTGTTTACAATGCAAAGAATATTCTTAAATATGCTTGAATTCCTGGAACAAGGTTTTATTTTTTAGATAACTGTGGCTCTGAAATCAACCACATTTCAGGGGTTTTTTCTATTGCCCTTCATTTCCTGGATGGTAATGTTAAACAGGTCCAGCTCTAGCTCAGAACCAGAAAGGTTCTCTGTCGAATGACCGGAATCCTCCAAACCATGTTCTGTAACCACAAATCATTTTCAACTAGCCTTTCTTGCTGATCGTATGTCTGGCATTTCACATAGGCTGCATTTTAACAAACTAAGACCTCTCACCAGGCCCGTGGTCTGCCTGGGTAGCGGTGAAGAATCTCAGGGTGGTAACAGAGAGATGCCTCTCAAATGCAACTTCAAAACATCAAGGGAACAAGAAATATCACCAGCTTAATTTGCACCCAAATGAATTCTGAGACTTTTCTTTTTAACAAAATGCTTTATTTCTATCTTTAAATGAGATACATTGTTAGGCATTCCCATGAAATATCAAAAGGCATTTACATGTGTCGTTTTAACTCTTCTTTTTTGATCACACAAAGTAGGTAGAAGAGATCTGCTGAAATAGAACAAACCAGAAACCAAGTAGTGTAAGGCATTAGGAGATACATGAAGAGAATCAATATTGGCTTCTTGTACAGCGTGTGGCAGGTCATGGTTAGTAGTCGTCATAGTTGACACTGGCTCCATGCCTAAAACTGTAGGGGCTCCGGGGACCAATTGCAGAGTCTTCATCATAGTGACGTTGGTAGTAATCACCATAGTACTCATGTCCATTTCGATCTCTGTTAAGCCAATAGGTGATATCATCTTCAAATTTCTGGAGATAAAGAGAGAGAATGATAGAGAACGGATTTAAGCACACACAGTCCCCTAAGACCTAATCTTACCTATGCTTTTCTCCATGGTGGTTTTTCTTCAATAATTAACAACCCTTAGTGAGAATAACTCTTCATTACCTTATTCTTGTGCTCAGTGGCCAACACAGCCAGCAGTATTCACTCTGATAAAAGCTATCTTTTTCCAAAGGAGTGCAGGCGCATACCTTTGCAACGTTTTGTAAAATATTTGCTAAATATACTCCAGACTTAAACTTTTCTTTCTTGGTAAATCAAATGGACAGCTGCCCAAATACAGTAACAACTTGGCCTGACCCTCAGGCCACATCTCATTGTGGCAAATACTGTTTTATCTTCCTACCCCATTCCTGTGCCTGGTTCTTTATATTGCATGTAGTAGATGCTTAATAAATGTTGCCCAAGTTAGATCAACCACCGCACTGGCCTATTATAGTGCCAGGGCAGAGAACTGGGGGTATAGTTGATGGTGACTCTTATACATATGTGGTTGGTTAGAGTATACACAGATGTCCTTATTCATTCCACAAACACTATGAGATGGGCACCGTGTGTCAGGCCTGGCCCTGTGCTGGGCACTGGGGGGACTGCCAAAAACAGGATATCTGCCTTCAAAAAGCCTACTGTTCCTGAGAGACAGATACGAGAAGAGACAGTTGCAGCTAATAAAAGGGATGGAGAAGCTAAAGCCAAGTAAGAAGTGTAGAGTGATGCTCAGGTTTTTGGTTTGGGCAACTGATCTTTGCTATTCATACATTTTTTTTTTTTTAAAGGAGAGGCTAAATTTTCTTTGGTGATAGTGAAGGTGCAAGATTAATTTAGACTAAGACTCACATGATGCTCAGGACGTGGCAAGAGATTTCGTGTGAGAGCAAAAAGGCAGGGAGATGACAGATGGGCTGGGTGAACGGGTCATGCAGTGTGGGGTACAGGGGAGTTTTTCTCCGTGCGTGGTCCATGCACCCCCTACATCCAAATCACACATGCAGGTTGTCAGGCACCAGCCGCTCCATGCCTCCTGCGTGGAACTTTCTGATGTCTGGGTCTCGGCAACCTGTTTTTATTTTATCAAGACTGCCAGTGAACGTTAATTGATATATGAGAATTTTGTGAGGCTGAAATCCCCAGCCTAGCCCATGACTGTGGTCTCTGGGGCTCAGTGGTCATCCACGCTTGGTGGCTAGTGGGCCAACTAGTGCTGGGCTAAAGAGCATGATTCCAGTGTCTCACTGTCATTCTCTACACCTGGGGTCTGAATCATCTGAGCACACCCCAGCCTCTGCCTTGGGAAGGAGGACACTGACTTCTTTGGCTCCATCTCTAGTTTTGCTTCTCCCATTATACAACATTTTTGGCCATGGTGAAACATTCTTGCTTCTTGGTTTTTCTCATTTTATTTTATTTTTTTAAGAGGGAGTTTTACTCTTTCGCCGAGGCTGGAGAAGTGGTGCAATTTCAGCTCACTGCAACCTTTGCCCCCACCCAGGTCCAAGCGATTCTCCTGCCTCAGCCTCCCAAATAGCTGGGGTTATAGCCATCCGCCACCACGCCTGGCTAATGTTTTTTTTGTGTTTTTAGTAGAGACAGGGTTTCACCATGTCGGCTAGGCTGGTCTCTTAACTCCTGACTTCAGGTGATCCACCCACGTTGGCCTCCCAAAATGCTAGGATTACAGGTGTGAGCCACCATGCCCGGCCTCTCATTTTAGAAATTTGAGGTTTTAGCTTAAATATGTATTTTCAAAAAAATTTTTAAATGTTTGATGAATACAGAAATAATGTAGACTCAGATTTTAAAATCTGTATGTAAGAAAAGAGCATAGAAAAAGAAGATCATATTCCTTTGCCAGAAACCACCACTAGTGAGACTTGGACGTATTCATTGTAGTCTCTTTAGTGCATGTTGATTTATTGTAGTCTTATTGGATCCTAATCTTTATGCTGGTTTTGTCACAGAGATTATTCGAGCAGTTGCTGCGTGCTAAACTCTTTTTTTTTTTTGAGATGGAGTCTTACTCTGTCATCCAGGCTGGAGGTGCGATCTCAGCTCACAGCAACCTCCACCCCCCAAATTCAAGGGATTCTCCTGTGTAATTCCCCTGAGTAGCTGAGACTACAGGCGTGAGCCACCATACCCAGCTAATTTTTTGTATTTTTAGTAGAGACGGGGTTTCACCCTGTTGACCAGGCTGGTCTCAAACTCCTGACCTCAGGTGATCCACCTGCTTTGGCCTCCCAAAGTGATGGGATTACAGGCATGAGCATTGTGCCCTGCATGTTAAACTCTTAATGCCCATTTTAATCATGGTCATCAAAGAAATGCAAATTACCAGAAGAGGATACAGCATTTGCATCTTCAAATAAGTAAACATATATTTTTAATTTCCAATGAGAACACCAGATATTGCTGAAGATTCTAGGAAACTGTTGCTCTTACATGTGACTCACAGGAACGTGCAATTTGCAAATACTCGGAGACGGTTAAACGTGATTCCACCCTTGCCCCAGGAACCTCACTGGGAAGAATGTGGTCTAAGTAAAGGACAAACTCCACAGAGATGCAAATAATAGCACCTGCCTTTTGGGTTGTGAATGTGAAGTAAGTTCATACCTCTGAATACTGAGGATCATTCCAGGCTCAGAGTTTGGCTATACGTGTTTAGCTGTTTGCACAGCAAAGGAAAAAAAGCAAAAAGATACTTTGGGAACAAGTCATATGTCCAATGGCTGGAAATTCGAAGGAAATTATGGTATAGCCACACGATTTCATTTTATGCAGCCATTAAAAATGATACATCTAAGGGTCTTAGTTTTTCCTTCACCTACTGCAGTATTGTGTATACACCATCTAAATGAATCATGTTCCCGTTTTGAAAAACACTTCCAACTGCCCAGTTGGAGGTGCTGCCCATGAAAAGCCTATTTGCTCCCTGGTGGGGCTGCACAGGCCACGGGTCCTCCCTCTACATCTCACACAAAGAGCTCAGCCTCCTCAGTCACTGTGGATGGATGCCCACACGGCCACATCTATGACTTCCACGGGCTGCCGTCTCACCTGTGCATGCACCTCAGCTGGGAGCCTGAGATTATAAACTCTTTGTACTTCATTCAATGAATACATCCACCAAAGCCATCTAGGGGCATGAACTGTAAACCATCTTTTCCTATAAGCGCATTGTCAAATTTTCCCCAAAACGTCTACAAAGACCCATCCCCTCTTTACAAGTCCTTTTTCATCTCTTTTTCTTATCATCATAGATCTGTCATCCCTGTTGTTTCTGACAGTCTTCAAGGTAAAAGTGAAAAGGTTTTGGGGGATTGTGAGTTATTTTAAGAATACCCGGACAAAACTGTCCAGCCAAGTTAAAAGCGTTCCCAGGAAAGTCAGATTACCAATGAATCTACGTCCCAGCCATTTTGGTCCATGACTGCCCTGCGTTCTGCCTCCTGAACGTGCCCTGGTGGAAACTTCCAGCCATCACCCTTACGCTATAGGTAATGTGATCCAGTGGCTGACAGCACTCAGCATCAGTGCTCTTATTTTAGGAATGAACAGCAAAGCTGAATTTTCTGCTTCCTATTTCCCTGAGCCAGGCCTCCTCCCTGCCACTCTGCCCTGTGGAAGCCAGGCCCGAAGACAGAGGCAACACTCACCGCTTCGTCAAAGCCCATGTAGAGAAACTGCTGGTACCACTGCTGCACCTCGGGCCGAGTCCGGTCCCACAGCTGCCGCTTCTGGCGTTTCAGGCTGCCGAGGAATTCTTTGGCTTTGTTCTCATCAACGGCCACGCTAGTCTTAGTTGGAACAGGTGCTGAAATCATCAATTCCCCATCCCCAAAACACAAAGAATGATTATTACCTTCCTCACTCGCAGTGAATCCTGTTATACATCCCATTCCACACCACCATGGTTTCGACCCTCAATTTCATTCTTACTTGCATGGGACAATGTGACACAGCCTGGTAGCATCAGTCACCACGCCTCCTGTGAATTCTATTTGTTACAGCCCTATAAAGGGGCATGAACTAAACTTCAGCCTCTAGGTCCTCAGGGTAGAAATGAAATTCAGCTCATCCCCTGCAGCCCTCTCGCTCCCGGGACCCAGGCCTTTCCCAGGGGCAAGTGGCCCACCCCTCAGGCTCCGCGTTCAGGAAACAGACTGGATATCTGGTGCCACACAGGTATACTGGCATGTCCATTGCATATGCAAACACAAGAGGGTTGTGCTTGGCTCAGGAGATTATGTAAGAAAAAGGAACCGGAATGATGAGACCCGGGTGAGCAGGTACCAGCCCCTGCCCAACAGTAGAGCTGATTCTCTTACCAGGCTGCTGGGACACAAAGTCCCCTTAAGCCATTGCCTCTCTGCACCTCACAGTCTGACCATTGATGCAGGGTACTGACCCGCACCCTCACATTGCTGCTGCTAACGTTTTTCTATCACAGTCTCAATTGTTGAAACGGAACCACTTCTGCAGGTGTGCTCGGGGAAGCCACTGTGCCGTTAGGTGTTCTGCCCTGCTGTTATTTTGAGCCTCTGTCCCTTCGTCTATAAAAGCAGATGGACAGTTCCTCTTGATGACATTAGGAAAAATGCACAGGATTATGGAAATGCAGGCCTGATGTGTTTGTTGGTCATATGGATAAGTAGCAGCAGGGTTTTTTGTTTGTTTGTTTTTTACAATCCCTTCAGGGACTGTTACGTTGTTTTATACACAGTAGGTGCTCAATATGTGTTTCTTGGTCTGAACTGAGTAAAGGCTGTGGGATGCACATGTAGGAGTTGTGACTGTCTCAGCAGCTTGCTCACCTATGACAAGCTGGCTCTGTGAGGGCGTTGTTCACCCCTGGGCATCCGTGAGGAGAGGCTCCCACAACCCCACAGCAAGGGGGGGGACCCTCTGAGCTGCCTCAGAGATTGGGGATGGAACAGGGTTTCATGGGTGGCTGGAAACCCAGGGAAAGATGCTGAGACCACCTCCAAGGAACCCCTTGCCCTCAAGAGGGTCCGCCTGTTCTCCAGCCATCTGCTGGGGGGTCCCTGAGTAGCAACTGGGGAGTATGGGAAGAATGACTAGGAACCCACTTGAGGGAGGAAGTTCAGCCTGCTAGAATCCCCTGTAAACTAGGAAGGAAAGAATAAGTGATTAAATGGTCACGTCGGAAATATGGTAACACTTTTTCATTTCTAAGGGATTTTCCATTTTACAGATGGAGATGAAAGCTGGGAGAGGGAAAATGACATTCACAAGACCCCACAATTGATCCACCTGATCTGATTATGGCAGGTCCGGAACCTGTGTGTTGTGACCCCCAGACTCTTCAATTTCTATGACATTTTGCTGCTGTCACATTTATCTTGAATACATTTTTCAAAACAGAGGCTAATAACAAGAAAGGCTTTTCTGTTTGAAACCTTTCCCCGAGAGCTCATTGGATACAGGGACTACCGTAACAATGCCGTTCCACGCCTGCCCCACCAACCGAGGCTTATGTGTTCCAAAGATAGTCTCTAAAGTGCTTCATGGTTCTAAAATAAACAGCATGCAATTAACACTGTACCTCTGTTTCTTTTATTTTTGAGTCCACACTGACAGCTTTCAGAAAAATAACCTTCAGACATTTACTGGCACTAATATTTATCTAATAAAAGACCACACCACATATCCACAGAATAAGCCCTTCATATCTGCTAACCTTCTATGGAGTAAGCACTTTTGATTTTCCAAATACAAGACTCCAGTGAGCACATTCCATATTGCCATTTCATTTCCATCCAGTTAAGAATGCATCCCTTACCCATTTGGGAAATATTTACCTTCTCGTTTTTGAAGCATCAGCTTGAGTTTATTTCCACTTATGCCACCTAAAGGAATGAAAATTGAAATCCATATCAGAGTTACACTGTACCCTTCAGTTTATCAAATGCAGAAGTCAGAGTGGGAAAAAAAGAACTGCAGGCCCCCACCCTGATTTGGCAACTTGGTAATATCACCGTATTCAATGCTTATAGTATTCCCTGTCCAGCAGGACGGACAATTCAGGTGGCCCATGGCTAATATTGGTGATAAGGACCACAGCTGACCAAGAGCATTATGATTTGAGCTAGTCAGAGTGATGCTGTTCTTTTAGCCCCGTGTCTTGCTATGAGGGGCAACCATCTGTCATGCGCATCTTCCTGCAAACTTTCACTTCATGGTGTAATACATTGAATAGTGTCCTCCTGAAATTCCTAACCACCAGAAACCCCTGAATGTGAGCTTATTTGGAAATGAGATCTTTTCAGATATAATCCGTTAAGGATCTCAAGATTTTTCTTTAAAAAAATTTTTTTAACAGCCTGACTCATCACTGAGAGAGTCTCAAGAAGTTATACAGGATTTAGACGAACAGAAATCCAGTGACTAGTGTTCATATAAAAAGTGAGGATCCAGAGAGGTCGCCCATGTGAAGATAGAGGCAGGCAGAAATGGGAGTCGGGCCCCCACATACTGGAGAACTTGCTTTCGCTCTCTAAAAGTGCAGCCCACTTTTGTAGCTTGCCCATCACCCTAAAACCAAGCATGATTTGTACCATTTGCTGTTATTTGTATTCAATTTTAAAAGTATTTCTGATCAGCTCAATCATTTTTAATATAAAATACCTTGTCTGCCCTGATAGAACACTCCCCTCCACCCAGTGAACTGGCTTGCGGACCTATAGAAGCCTCTGACTCTTAACTGTTGCATGCAGACATGCTGACTTTGTAGGTAGTGAGCAGAGCATCTTCAGGTGTAAGGAACCGGAGTCTGGCCCCAGATTGGAGGTAATGGTGACCACTTTCTCAGCCTCTCCTTCCGTGGGCAGGCTCCAGGGGGTCTAGAAAGGTATGGAAAATTGTGTTTGCATCTGCAAAGGCACAATTTTCTGGGAATAGGAACCGTAGCTTTTGCCAGACTCTCAAAAGTATCTGTGACCCCAATAAAATTAAAAACCCCTGCTTTGTTTGTGAATTCCATCAATAAAGCTGGGAGAAAAGAAATAAATGTTTTAAAAGAGAACCTCTGCATGAAGGAGTTGGGGAGAAAAAAATATCCACAACTAAGAATTACAAACTGGCTGCCCTACGTGGGGATGCATTTTATTAGCATACCCAATGTTTACAAATTTTGAATTTGAAGACCTCTGAGCCAAGTCACTCAGCACATCCATAGTCCATAAGCAGCCACCTAACCTACTAGCCTCCTGTAGCATCTGGATTAAGGTGCTGCCTACCTGCCTGCAGAGTCATTGGGCCATCCAGGGAGGCTGCTGGCCTGTCCTCTGGGACAGGACAGGGAACCTGCTAGAAATTACTAAGTCTATTTCCTGCTAAGTGCCTCCCTCGTAATTCACGGGTATGGTGGACACACTTTCTAGCCGTTCAGGGAGAGCCCCAGTACATACCGCCATTCTTGTAAATGAATTTTGCTCTCAAAAGTGTTCCAGCTTGGATGATAATTACATGGCCATCCAATTTTTCGAGGTTTAATGGCATGGAAATGGCTTCGTAAGATCTCTAGGGACACCCTGAGGGCGGTGGTTGCCCTCACACCTTCCCTAGGAGGGCTGGGAGTCTGCCGGGTGGCAAGCTAAGATATCAGCATAGTGCACAGCAGCATGTGGGAGAGCTACAGTGGTTTTTGTTGCCTATGCTCAGGTCGGTCTACAGTGACGTCGTTGTTTAAAAAGCAATTGCAATCTTAGGCTGTTTAGTAAAGGATAATTTAAAAAAAGACAGTAACTGTCCTGTCTCTGTACCATCACGGCTCTGAGCAGACCTCTTCTCTACTATTTAGTTCAGTTCACATCGTCTGACTTGAAGAAGATCATAGAAAATCTGGAGTTGTGGTCAAAGGAGTGTCCAGGGAGGACTAGGGCCCAAACATGTGTTATATGAGAAGAAATTAAAGGAATTTAGGTGTTTAACTTAGAGAAATAAAACTTCTGGGGCTGGGTGCGGTGACTCAAGCCTATAATCCAAGCACTTTGGGAGGCTGAGGCGGGTGGATCGCTTGAGGACAGGAGTTCGAGGCCAGCCTGGCCAACTTTGTGAAACCCTGACTCTGCTAAAAATGCAAAAAATTAGCTGATGTGGTAGCACATTCCTGTACTCCCAGCTACTTAGGAGGCTGAGGCAGGAGAATCGCTTGAACCTGGGAGGCCGAAGTTACAGTGAGCCAAGATAGCATTACTGCACTCCATCCTGGGTGACAGAGTGAGAGAAGAAAAGAAAGAAAAAAAGAAAGAAACAGAGAAAGAAAAGAAAGAAAAGAAAGAAAGAAAGAAAAAGAAAGAAAGAAAGAAAGAAAGAAAGAAAGAAAGAAAGAAAGAAANAGAAAAAGAAAGAAAGAAAGAAAGAAAGAAAGAAAGAAAGAAAGAAAGAAAGAAAGAAAGAAAGAAAGAAAGAAAGAAAGAAGGAAAGAAAGAAAAGAAAGAAAGAAAGAAGAAAGAAAGAAAGGAGGGAAGGAAAGGAAGGAAAGGAAGGAGGGAGGGAGGGAGGGAGGGAGGGAGGGAAAAAACGAAGCTCGTGGGAGAAGAACAACAGCTTTGAGGGACCACTGGGCCATGGGTTAGGGCATGAAGTAAGATTTCCAACACCCAGACGGACAGCCACCCAAGATAGGACAAATGGCCCTGGGGGATGGGGGGGTTGAGATTAAGAGTTGCTGGAGGTGTCTGAGCATAAACAAAGGTGAGCACTTGACCAGGCTACTGTAGAGGGGATTTTCTAGTTAGATGGGGGTGGGACTACTGTTAAACATTCTACTTCCCTTCCAAACTTACGTTCAATGAAGAAATCTATGAAAATATTTGCCAAGGCAGACAGATATGTTCCTTGGCACTAATAATAGCATTCATTAATGTCTTAACATTTGTCAGTCTCTAATAGCTCACAGGATAGTGCATACAGAATTAAGTATGGCCCCTCCATCTGTTTGCCTTCTGTAAAAGTGCTTAACAATTAATGAATGAAATGTGGTCTGATGTTGAAATAGACATCGAGTTTAGGCATTCGCAATGAGGCTGCAATTTCTTGCAGCAAATGTATGTCACTATTACTCCAGAAACGAGAACTTCGCCAAACCTTAGCTATAGACTGAAAAGCACAAATAAATCCAAAATTATGAATTATGAACGTTGATACTGTGCCAGGTAGTACACACTGAACTACATATTGGTACATATAATTGGACACTACACTAAATTTGTTTGAAGAAAAGAATAAGGAACAATAGAATGGCTGTGATTTTTTTTCTGTATTATGGATTTTTCACCCAATATCATCAGCTGTTCATTCTAGGCTGCAATAATCGTCACTCCTGAATTTATCCAATCCAGTTACCCAGTATTAGCTCTACCAGCAAATTCAGAACTGCAAGTTGCTCCTTTGGAGGTGCTAAATATTAATAAATTGATCAAGTAGGGGCCACGGTCATTTTCTTTATTAAATGTTTGTGAGAAACGGAGTGGTGGTTCAAGCCTATAATCCCAGGACTTTGGGAAGCCGAGTCAGAAGGATCACTTGAGCCCAGGAGTTTGAGACCGACTTGGGCTACATAGTGAGACCTCATTTCTACTAAAAATTAAAAGAAAAAAAAAAAGGTAGTCAGGCGTGGTGGCATGCACCTGTAGTCCCAGCTGCTTGGGAGGCTGAGGTGGGAGGACTGCTTGAGCCCAGGAGATCAAGGCTAGGCTGCAGTGAGCTATGACAGCACAACTGTATTCCTGCCTGGGCAATAGCATGAGACCCTGTCTCAAAAAAAAAAAAAAAAGTTTGTAGGTAGCATAAAGAGTCACCTTTGGGATTCTACATCAAGATTTTCTTTGCATAAGAACTTTCACCTCCCAGGTCAGTGATGAGATTTTAACTGACTTCTATCACTGAGTTATTGATAAAAACTAAATAAAATACCAGCCAGTGCTCACTCAACTTATTCAGATGTGCTTTTTCTTCTTCTTCTTTTTTTTTTTTTTTTTTTTTTTTTTTTTTTTTTTTTTTTTTTTTTTTTTTTTTTTTTTTTTTTTTGAGACGGAGTTTCATTCTTGTTGCCCAGGCTGGAATGCAATAGCACCATCTCAGCTCACTGCAACTTCCACCTCCCGGGTTCAAGGGATTCTCCTGCCCCAGCCTCCCAAGTAGCTGAGATTACAGGCATGTGCCACCACGCCTGGCTTATTTTGAATTTTTAGTAGGGACAGGGGTTTCTCCATGTTGATCAGGCTGGTCTCGAACTCAGGCCTGCCTCAGTTTCCCAAAGTGCTGGGATTACAGGAGTGAGCCACTGTGCCTGGCCCAGATGTGCTTCTTAAAATGCCAAGAACAAAGAGTTGGGGGCAGGTAAACTATACAGTGGGAAATAACTGACTAGCTTCGCTGGTGGTTCTAATGTGGAACAGTAATCTTCCCTGCCTGGACAGACCTCGCCACCTCCCTTGCTGTTCTAGCAACCCTGGGGCTCCACCCCAGGGCTCCTATTGAACGTCCCCTGCCTCGTCTCACCTGGAGTTCAGTTTTCATACCTGTTCTGAATGAGCAAAACACAGAAACTAAGCAATCGAGTGAGACTTCCTTTTACATTAGGCAGTGCCCAGCTGCTTTGCAGCAGGTCAGCGTCAGGCTCAGGATCTTGGGCAAGCCACTTTACACACCAGTAACTCTGAGGCCGCAATCCCTGCCTCCACAAGGTGTAAGCTTCAAAGGCAGTCATGTGTCCTTGAGGCCACTTGTGAACCATAAAGGCTCCTCTTACTCATTGAAGGTGGTAACTCAGGACAAACCACGGTTTCAGATTATGGTTCCTAAAGTGGGGCCTGTGGACCCCAGTGTTCAGGTGTTGGAGCACCCATCATTCTGGGTGTGCGTGTGAATGGACGTTTTACAGAGAGCCAGAGGGATTAGCTGGGAGCTCCACAAAGCAGAATGGATTAAGCATGATTCCTTTAAGAGCCTTTCCCCTGTCTGGGGTGTGAGGCCTGTGCCCAGCTTTGCAAACTGCAACTTGACCCAGCCGGGAAGCTCAAGTCAACTTGTTGCCAAGCGACTGCCTGGAAGGGAATCGCGGTGATGGTGCCATTTGCCTACCCTGGGTTACCAGCTGCGTAAAGCCCCCCACAACCCCTTTGCTCTTTATGTTAAGCCCCAAAACACCACCTTCCCAACCTTCGGAAGCCTGGCCCTCCTTTCCCAAGGTTGCCCCGCAGATCTGAAAGCCTCCCCGCCCTTGACCCCGGTACTCTCTCCACCTGAACTCGTGCAAGTGCAAAACCCTAGACCCGGAGCCCATCCCACCCCATTGGCCCTGCCTGCGCTAGGGATGGGTCCCTGCGCCGCCACCCCATCACCGATCGCTCTCCCTAGGCACCCTGGAAGCGCCACGCGGGACGAATCCCTGGTGCCGCTATCAATCAGCCTGGCATCGTCCCGCTCACCTGGGCCCCAGCACAGGAGCAGGAGCAGCACCAGCCCAGTCACGGCCAGGACCGCGGGCCGCGCGGGGGAGGCGACCATGGCGGCGGGGCGCGAGCAGGAGGGCGAGGGGCGCACTTGGAGCTGCTGCGCGGGAGGACTGGACGCGAGAGACTGGTGCGAGCGGGCCGGCGCGGCCGCGGGTTATTAGTGCGTGGCTGCTTGGGCGGGACCTGGCGGGTCGGCGCCGCGCCAAAGGGCTGCGGGCCAGGGGCTGCGCCCGGCGCCAGGGAGAGCACCGCCGAGGTCACCTCTCCAGCCCTGGCCCCACGAGGAACGCGCACCCCGGGCTCCATGGTCAGGGATGATCGCGGGGCGCGGCCGCGGAGAACCACCGGCCGCGGGATGCCGCGTGGCCAGCGCCGCCCGCCGCGAACGCGATAAGCGGTGAGGACAGGCTGGGTTCCGGAGACCCAGGGAAGGGCAGAAGGCATCCGGAGAAGGGACGAGGCCCCCTGGTCACTCAGAGGGAGGACTTGCCGGATCCCAGCGCCAGGGTCTCTCCCTGGTTCCCCCAGTTTCTCTGCCCACTCCAGCTGCGCCTCTGTTCCCCCTACTCGCCCCTGATACCTCGCCCATTCCTTCCCCATCTCCTTCCCTCACTGCTTGGCGGCATTGCTTCTGCCTGGTTTATATAGTGGGCTTTGGAATTTCCTTAGTTCAGAGCTGTTCTTAAGGATGCCTTAGGCGGTGCTGTGTTCTGGGATGTTTTGAAAGACTCCACAGTCTGGGTTCAGAACTGCAGTCCAGGAAATCGGCTCACCCAAACTTCTCCAATAGAAAAGCCTTTGAGAAACCAGGAACCTGGTGGCCGACAGCTGTGAGCAAAACCACTGCTTCTTGTTGCCAGCTGTGTAATCCGGCACACTTCAGCGATGTTAAGGTGAGGCCCAAGGCAGACGCAGAACTGCATCCCAGTAACCGGCCTGTTCGAATGTAGAGGACACGTGAAAGGCGGGGTGGTGAACAGAAACTAGAACTACCTTACCCCAAGGGACTCTGAGCGGGTCACCTATTACTCTCTCTAGGCCTGGGCTACAAAAGGATGATGATGTGAGATTACCTTTCCTGTCTTCCCATCTCAGATCTGCCTTGAACTGAGTTGATTAACTCTTTCCTTCATCAAGGTTCTCACTTTTTTTTTTTTTTTATTAGTCTCACCTGTCGCCTAGGCTGGAGTGCATTGGTGTGATCTCGGGTGACTGCAACCTCCGCCTCCTAGGCTCAAGCGATTCTCCTGCCTCAGCCTCCTGAGTAGCTGGGATTACAGGCATGTGCCATGGAGCCCGGCTAATTTTGTATTTTTAGTAGAGATGGAGTATTACCATGTTGACCAGGCTGGTCTCGAACTCCTGACCTCAGGTGATCCACTCACCTCAGCCTCCCAAAATGTTGGGATTACAGGTGTGAGCCACTGTGCCCAGCTGGTTCTTTTTATACTTTCCAGGGGTAACCACTTACCATGCTTCCATATAATTAGCTCTCCATCAAGTGCAGTTGAATTTCTCCAGCAGGCAGGAGAAAGAAGTCTTCTGACATTGAGTTAGCAAAGGCAGATGGTGGCAGACCAAAGAAACAAGTGCGAAGTGGGTCTGAGAGTTAAATAACAGTACTGCCCAGGATGTCGGATAATATTACACATGGATTATCTTGGGGAAATGCTTCTAAACCCTTGAGGAAACTGTAGAATAGGGGATAGGAGTTTTAAAAGTAACTAGGCATGTGCCGGAACAAGAAATTTATTGTTACAAAGAAAAACAAAGCACATAAAAAGCCAATATTCTGTTTGGATTGGTTTAGAACATACATTAAACATAATGGCTATAATCTCTTATTTATCTTGCAGAGATCATTCTCCTTACCCCAAATTGCTACCAATATCTGGTTCTAATATGACATTTAAATTATCTTCACTTAAGGTGGGGTGCGGTGGCTCATGCCTATAATCCCAGTAATTTGGGAGGCTGAGGTGGGCAGATCACTTGAGCTCAGGTGTTCGAGACCAGCCTGGCCAACAGGATGAAACTCCGTCTCTGCAAAGCATGACACCATCTAAAAAAAAAAAAAAAAAAAAAAAAAAAAAAAAAAAAAAAAAAAAAAAAAAAAAAAAAAAAAAAAAAAAAAAAAAACATTATCTTCACTTAATCGGGTTATGATCAGAGAATGTTCTGTAGCCGGGAGCTTCTCAGTCTGCCTTCAGAGGGGCTGCTAAACTCATGTGTTCAGCCTGGAGACACTATGTCAGTTCTTGAGCTGATATCTAAGTTCCTTTTCATTTGTCTATTTGTTCAACGATATTTACTTACTGTCAGTCCATTTGGGCTGCTAAACAAAATACTGTAAACCAGGTAGCTTATAAACAATAGAAATGGCTTTCGCACAGTTCAGGAGGCTGGAAGTCCAAGATGAAGTCCCCAGCAGATTTGGTGTCTGGCGAGGCCCTGCTTCCTGGTTCCTAGATTGCATCTTCCTGCTGTGTCCTGATATGGTGGAAGGGGTGAGGGAGCTCTCTGGGGCCTCTTTTATGAAGTCACTAATCCTACTCATGAGGGATCCATCCTCATTACTTGATCATCTCCCAAAGTCCCCACCTCTTAACACCTCACTTTACGAGTTAGGATTTAATGTATGAATTTATGGGAGACACAAACACTCAGTTTGTAGCATTTATAAAATGCTAATTACATGAGACACTATGAAAAGTCCTTTTCTTCCTAGTCACTTAAATTTGTCATCCCTCTCATGTACGAGACCCTCCTGTCTCCCTCTGCTAAAGCGGGTCTGATTTTTTATGCCAGTGTTTCTCAAACTTAGTCTGAAAAATCTCCAGTGGCTTGTTAGTGCAGATTTCTGGGTCACATCCCCTGGAATTTTGTAGGCCTTGGGCGGGGCCCAGGTGTCTCCATTTTGTTTGTAATGGTTCCTTGAGGATGCTGATATCAGTAGTTCTCAGACTGCACTTTGAGTAACTCAGCTCATTCAGCGCTCCACCAAAACTCCCCTGCTTCCCAAAGTCTCCACCTGGCCTCACTCAGTTTAACAGTGCACATTTTCTCTTCCTTGATATACCATACCAAATGAACCCCAGAGCCTTTGTTTCTGCCATGTGACACAGTAGCTAAGGACACAGGCTTTGGGTTCCAGCTCTTTCTGCATTGGGCACAAACTGTGTAAGTAAATCACCTGTCGTCTCTAAACCAAAGGTAGTATGGGGGCAATATCATCTATCACACTGGGTTAAGAGATCAGATGCACAGAGCCTGGTGTACAGTAAACACTCAGCGAATGTATTATTGTTAGTACCAAAATGCCCTCTGCTTCTGAGCTCCCTACCCAGTGCTCTTCCACCTCTCTCCACCTCTGTGCTCCTCCCTTCCCCTGGCCTGGAGCTCTCATTTTGGATGATCCCAATCCACTCCACATAGTGTCAGACTGACCTTCTCAAACGCAGTCCAGACACGGCACCCCAAACCCTTCCATGTGCCTCAGGGGCTTCAGTGGTCCTCCCTCAGTGGCTTCTAGTTCAGTTATCTGGCAATAGTGGATAGGGGATCATGGGAAGTGCCATCACCCTGCGAGTGTGCCATGAGCCAAATGCATACTGGGGAAGAGGGCAGGGTCTAAGAGATTATGAGAGACCTCAGAGAGACCAGCCACAGCAGGGCCGGGTCCGGCTTGACCCTGCCTCCAAGGAGCCAGCAGTAAGAGAGACTCGACATTTGAGTGGGCTTCATTTTAATATTGCTAAATGTTTTAGGTGTGAAATGGTATTGTAGTTATAATTTTAAAGCCCTGTCTGTTAGAACTATATACTGAAGTATTTATGGGTAAAATGATACAATGTATGGGATTTCACTTAAAATAGTTCAGAACAAAGTGGAAAATAGAGTTCATTCTTTTGCCAGGAAACCGCTTATGCAGTCCTTGACCCCCAATTATGTTATGTTCAGGAGCTACCGTCTGAAAGTTTCTGTCCTCCCAAAATTCATGTGTTGAAATCCTAGCCCCAAGGTGATAGTGTTAGAGATGGGGTGCTTGGGAAGTGATAAGGTTGTTAAGGGCAGAGGCTTCATGAATGGGATTAGTGCCGTTTTAAAAAGGTCCCCTAGAGAGCTCCCTCATTCCTTCCAACATCTGAGAACACAGTGAGAAGGCGCCGTCTATGAACCCGGAAGTGAGCCCCCACCAGACGCCGAATCTGCTGGTGCCTCCAGCTTGGACTTCCAGTCTCCACAATTGTGGGAGATCCATTTCTGTTGTTTATAAGGCACCTTATCACGGCATTTTGTTATAGAAGCCCGAACAGACTGAGACAACAGGGGACTGTTATGCTATTCTCTGTTTATATATATTTATACATTTTCATAATAAAGCCCTATAGAATGTTAGCGGCGCTGTATTAACTATACGTAAGTAAGAATACATAATGTACGCAGAGACCTTCAGACTCTCTATTTAGCCCTTAAACATGTACAATAGTGATTTTTTTCTTATGCTTCCTATACTTTTCCCAGTCTCCCAAAACTCAAAACACATGCATTTATTCTCTGCATCTTCACAGCATCATGGCTTTACCTACAACATTCTCTGGGATGCCATTGGGTCCTTATTGCTGCTAGTCAAAACCCAACTATTCCAGTTGCCAATCACTGCTTCAAAACTGACCCCAGATTAGAGGCTTAAAGAACAATCACCACTTTATTATGCATGCAATCCCGGAGATCAGGAATTTAAGAAGGGCTCAAGTGAGCGGTTCTTCTTCCCCATGTGGTATTGATGGAGATCATCAGTGATACTCAGCTGGCAAATGGGCTGGACTGGAGAGTCCCAGACAGCTCCACTCACCTGTGTGGCACCTTGGGCAGGATGGCTGGAAGGCTTGACTCAGCTGAGATTGTCAACTGAAGTGCCTCCTTGTGGCCTCTCCAGCATGATGGCTTAGGATCCCAGGGAGATCTAAGATCTAAGATCCAAGATCAGGTATTCCAAAAGATAAGAAGAGGAAGCTGCCAGTATCTTTAGGTCTTGGCCTGGTAACTGACACAAATCAATGCCATTGAATTTTATTGGTCAAAGCATTCACAAAACCTACAGGCATTCAGGAGGAGGGGTATACAGTAGATCCTATTTCTCAAGAGGAGGACATCAAAGGATTTATGCACATCATTCATCCGCCACATTTACCCACCTTTTAAGGCCAAGCTCTGATGCTACCTCCTTCAGGGGCTTTCCCTGCTTCGCCGTTCGAGCCCAGACCACATTTTCACATTTTCTCTCTCTTTTTCCTTCTTTCCCTTTCTTCCCTTCCTTCCCTCCCTCCCTCCCTCCCTCCCTCTCTCTCTCTCTCTTTCTTTCTTTCTCTCTTTCTTTCTTTTTCTTTCTTTTTTTCTTTCTTTCTTCCTTCTTTCTTTCTTTTTTTCCTCCCTCTTCCAAAATAAAGTGTGGCTGTGATGCAAAAACCTTCTGCTCCCCCTGAACGTTTTCTTGTTCTACCTTAGATGTGTTTGGTGACTTATTTCTCTTTTCTCCCTTGGATTTTAATGTTTGGGCTCCTCGATTTGTTTGTTCTCTTTTTGAATTACCTCATTGAACCAAACACCCTGTATTTAGTTGATGAGGGAATAAATGTCATCTAAAAATGGATCTCTGATTACACAGATCATGTATAAATGAGATCATTTCATATGACCCTGCTTTTGTTTTCTTAAGTTTGATATTAGAAAAGTATGTGGTACATATAACAACAGCTCACAGCAGCAGCCAGGAACAGTGGCAAGGAAGACCTACCACGGAGGGAGAACCCTGCCCAAGGCCAGCCTGAAAACTGCCTAAACTACGGACCGGTAACCACAGGGTTAACATTCATGCTCAGTGGTGGGTCCTCAAAACTCCTTTCCTGTTTATTAAGCAAGTTTCCATGTTGGAATTTTAATAACTTTTGCCATTTGAAGTAACTAACTGAAGCCAAAGTCAGGGAAAGGGGGAATGTTTCCTTTCAGTCAAAAAAAAAAAAATTGAGAAGAACAAAGTTCTTATTATGCAAGGCTCTAGTTCACAGAAGGGTTCTGTGAGTAGGGTTGGCAAAGAGACGCCCAGGACCCCACCGGTAGACGTGGCCTCTGAGTGCCCAGGACCTCATGGGGAGGCGTGGCCCGTGAGTGAGAATGAACGTAAATTACCAGCCAGAGGACCTGGACACAGCCAAAGAAGTTGTGAGACAGATGGCCACTGCACCTGTAAGGAACCTCTGGTCATATGAGACGGCATTATTGAAACAGATTAACACATGGAATGAGGCCAGTTTCCTGGCTCTTTCAAACTTTAATTTTCAGGCTTTTAACCAAAAAGCTACTGAAAATCTGAGGAGACTAGGAAGACATTATCTAGCCTGCCATGGTTGAATGGTAGCATGGATTGCCTCATTAAGAGACTCCCCACATACATTTCCTAATTTCCTTTGCCTTGTGGGGTAGAGGCCCATGGTGGACTCCTTCATCTAAAACTCAGAGCAGCATTCAGCCAACTGGACACAAATCATAGGTTCACAGCAGGAGCTTGTAGCTCCGTGAGTGGTGGGCATCAGCCTTTGGGCACCAAGACCAAAAGCCAGATGTCAAAGATGGGTCCCATGATTCAACAGCCTGCAGTCTGGTTAGCCAGGAACTGGGCAAGATCAGCCTGCCACCTGGCACCAGTGGAGCAGTCAGAGGGAAAAAGACCCCATAGGGGTCACCTAAGTGATTTCTTTTTCTTTTTCTTTTTTTCTGAGACGGAAACTTGCTCTGTCACCTAGGCTAGAGTGCAGTGGTGCAATCTCAGCTCACTGCAACCTCTGCCTCTTGGGTTCAAGCAATTCTCCTGCCTCAGCCTCCTGAGTACCTGGGATTATATGCATGCCCCACCGTGCCTGGGGAATTTTGTATTTTTAGTACAGATGGGGTTTCACCATGTTGGTCAGGCTGGTCTCAAACTCCTGACCTTGTGATCCACCTGCGTCGGCCTCCCAAAGTGCTGGGATTACAGGCGTGAGCCACGCGCCTGGCCACCTAAGTGATTTCTCGCCTATTGAATAACCAAACCAGTCTCTTCTTGAATCCCCAAGTAGTAGGAAAGAGGTCTTGTAGACACACTTCTCCTGATGGTCTTGGAGAATCATTTCTGGGGCCCTTTTCAGCTCTATGCAGGGCCAAGTCATTAGAGCTAGTTCTCCAGCTAAGTGCAGACTATACCCACAACAAGCCACAGAGCCTCCCCCAGATAGATTTTGTTTGTTTTTCATCCTTTTAAAAAATGTTTTCTTTTTGGGTCTTGTTTTGTGACATGTTTAGTTTTGTTTATGTTGTTTATTTACATATTTATGTCTATTGTGCACAGGATTAGGCTGCCGATGTAAATCCAACTTTAAATGCAAGTGTGAATGTATAGTGATCCTGTGTTCCGGTGAACATGCAGTTACAGCCAGCTCCCCGCAAGCCCACGTCAGCATTAGAGATTCAGTCCTTCTGTTAAGACATTATATCACCAAGACACTTTGTTTATATGAAAGCTTGATACCGTAGTAACAATAAAACAGCCACCAGTCTTTACAAAAAGGAGAAAGCAGCAAAGGCAACCTTATCTATATCTTTTTTTTTTTTTTTGAGACGGAGTTTCGCTCTTGTTACCCAGGCTGGAGTGCAATGGCGTGATCTCAGCTCACCGCAACCTCCGCCTCCTGAGTTCGGACAATTCTCCTGCCTCAGCCTCCTGAGTAGCTGGGATTACAGGCATGCGCCACCATGCCCAGCTGATTTTTGTACTTTTAGTAGAGACGGGGTTTCACCATGTTGACCAGGATGGTCTCGATCTCTTGACCTTATGATCCACCTGCCTCGGCCTCCCAAAGTGCTGGGATTACAGGCTTGAGCCACCGTGCCCGGCCTATATTAAGCATCTTATCCAACAACTGTCTAGGCACCCATGAGATATGATGACTCCGCCCACTCATCTAAAGCCTCTGGTATAAATGGCATTTTATGATTTCCACATTGACTTCCCTGGGTCCTGCAGAGTGGGCAGGAATGGAGCCTCCATTTACAGATAAAGAACCCGAGGTCCGGGAGATATGATTGCCAATCAGCAGTTTGCACCAACATCTAGGTTTTCTGACTTTCAGTTCTGGGCTCTTAACCTCTGCTCCAGCCATCAAGTCTGCATCTTTGGGGCTTCCAGAGGACAAGCTGTGCTGGGTGCTGTGCCTGGGAGGTTGTAAGGCCAAATCCCAGCCCTCAGGAAGCTGTCTGTCTAGTTGGGCAGACAGCACACAGACTCTAACATGATGAGCATCAGTGACTGTAATTTGATTTTGCAAGCTGTTTGAAAGCTGTCTCAGAACTGGTATTATCTATTTATAAAATATATATACATATACATTTATACTTTAAGTTCTGGGATACATGTGCAGAACATGCAGGTTTGCTACATAGGTATACACGTGCCATGACGGTTTGCTGTACCCATCAACCCGTCATCTACATTAGGTATTTCTCCTAATGCTATCCCTCCCTTACCCCCACCTCCCGGCAGGCCCCAGTGTGTGATGTTCACCTCCCTGTGTCCATGTGTTCTCATTGCAGAACTGGTATTTTTAAGGATCAAAATCAATCAAGGTTAGTATTATCAGAAACAAGAATGATAAAGATTCATACATGTGATTGACAGGTTACAAAATTCCTTACACAGAGAGTTCATTATCTCAAACTCATAGTTCTGGGATGATGTCATTCCTCTGCCTAAACATGCCTCTTTGGCTTGAGATTCTGCTCCAGGATTTCTTTCCTGTTTGGTGGTCATAATGCCATTTGTATCATATTAGAATATTAGTGTGAAATAATTGAGGTATTTCATTTGTGAGAGTTAGTTTTTGCTCTGTTTCCCCCGAGTGTGTTGCGGGGCAGGTATTTTTAAGTCATTTTTCATACTGCATTAGTTAGAGCCTCTAACTTTGGGTATACAGTCCTGAGTCACGTTTACCACCTGACGGGTGTGTTTCATCATTGGAGAGTTGCCTGGTGGTGCAGGAAGGGGTGGAGTAGCCCTGGTTGCTGGAGAGATGCCAGGTGCAGTGGTGGAGGGGTTTGTCACGGAGGTGTCTCTTGCAGAGCCGTTCCATTAGTCTTGTCTCACTTTAAGGGTCTGAGGAGTGAAGAAGCTCCTGCCTCGAGGCTGGAACGACAGCCGCTGAGGCACGGCCACATCCTGTCCCCCTGCCGCCATTGTGGTGGGTGCTGTCATCCTTCTTCCCTCCATCTGATGGACCCTGGGCACCAGTCCCTGGAAACACAGTCTGGGGACCCCAGCCCTAAAGAGAATTGATCGGGGCCCCACTTCCCATCATGCAGTCTGCCAAGGTGCTTAAATATGACTTTTCCCAAATTTCTCAAGCTTGAAAACTGAGTCTAATCACATTTCTAGTGACTTGATTGAGGTATAATTGAAGCACAATAAATCGCTCATAAATTCTGTCATTGGACAAGTTTTAACAAATGTCTGCAGTTGCATAAGTACCACACAAACCTGGCACTTCCATCACCCCAAAATGTTCCTCCCTTCCCTCCTCCATCCCCTCAGGCTCTGGCAACCACTATCTTACTTTCTCTACCAACTATAGTTTTGCCTTTTCCAGAATTTCATATGGATGGAATCGTAAGAATGAGCTTTTTTATATCTGCCTTCTTTCACTTAGCACAGTGTTTTTAAATTCACATTGCGGTGTGTATCAGGAGGGTATTTCTTTTATTAATGAGTTTTATTGATTGTTTCATTGTTTGATACAGAAGGGCTGGGCTCCCGGCTAAACTCCACCCTTAAGCCTGGAACCGCAGCCCTAAGTGAAAACAGTGCCCAGATGTTGCCTTTTTGGCCTGCCCCACTCCTATCTTGTACCCACAAAAGACTTCGGCTGGGAGAGCAACACAAGCAACTGAGCGTTGAGGATACGGCTTGCTGAGCCGCAAGCAGAGAAGCAACTTGGCGTCCACACTATGGATAAACACAACTAACTTCATCCGATGTGGCTTCCAAGAGGAGCCCGCTTGGGTATCAGGGAAAGAGCACCTCCCTTTCCAGCCTCCTTTTCTGCTGACAGCCACCCACGGCTCAATAAAGTCTTCCACATTCATCATCTTTCAAAGAGATCGTGTCACCTGATTCTTCCTGGATGCCAAGAGGCTAGGGGCTGCCACGCTGACCCTCCACTGAGCTGGTTGGCACTTAGCCATCCCTGGATGGCAGAGCTGAAAGAGCATGGGTTGTAACATGCTTAGACACTGCTGTGGGGCCTGCAAAGAGCCTGCTCCCACCGGAGAGGAGCAACAGGCCCTTTGCAGAGTTCATTTGCTCTGGTTCCTGCACTCACTGGCCCCCATGCTCCCTCCACAAGGAGTGGCCCTCTGTGGTCTGAATGAAATGAACCACTCTATTTCCTGCTGTGAAGGGCATCAAGGGAACTATCCCATCCCATCATAGGCCATTTATTGATGTGCTTACCAACTTACGTATATGTGTGCTGTGTCCATTTGGGGGGGGCCATTACAAATAAAGCTGCTATAAACATTTGTATCCATGTCTTTGTGTGGGTACCTTTTCTTGTCTCTTTGGTAGGTCCGTGGGAGGATGATAGTTGAGCAGTGTGGTAGCTTGTGTGGATCTACATTGTTTAACCTCCATTGAGATAATGAGGATGTGCAAGACCACAAATTCATTGCCTGCGTGTGCACGGAGCAACTTGTGCCAAGGAAGGCACGAGGAACTCGAAGCCAATTTATGTCTGCCTTCATGGGGCTGACAGTTAGCAGGGAGCCCATTTCACAGAAAAGAGTGCCAACTCCTGATGGGGAAGAGATTGAGCAGATTGGGCTCTTAGAACCCATGACATTCAGGCTTCTCAGAGCAGGGGCCATCCTTCCTCCGCGTGTGCGCTCCTGTCAGAGGCTCACCACGCCACAGGAAGCCTCCCCACCGGGGCACCGCTCTGTTACTGGAAGGAAGCTCTTCCCCAGAGTGGGCTGATGTTACTCTCAGCTGGCAGTGCTGTCTGGAGCAAGCCTAACCTTCTCCACGCAGCCCATGATCCTCAGAGCCCCTTCTTAGCTCTGAATCCAGAAAAGAGGCTCTGAATCCAGGAGAGACCAGCTGCACAGTCCTCCAGCTGAGCTGCCCAGCTCACAGAAATTGTGAGAAATAATGAGTTGTTGTTGTCAAGCCACTGGTTTGGGTGGTTCGTTATGCAGCTGTCAGTGACCCAACAGCAGCAGTCTTTTCTAATCTGAGCACCACCGTAGGGCTAAGCAGTGTCTGGGCCCTGGGGGGCAGGGGTTCAGGAGATCTGTGAGGCAGAGTCCTGGGAAGCAGACACACAGAGGACCAGAGAGGGGAGGCAGGGGTGAGTCTGAGAAGATGCCCTGGAGAGAAAAGAGGCTACTAAGCAGGGGGATGGGGAAGAAAAGCAGCAGGAGGGAAAAGTGTTTGCTGAATGAATTAAGGCCTCAGGCCTGTGTGGCCGTATGGACGGGAATGCACCACGAGCAGAATGGCCGCACTAGGGGAAGCCTCAGCTGTGACCTGCAGCAGAGTGCAGCGATCCATGCTTTGGTACTGATGGCGGGATTTTTTACAGTACGTGAAACTGGACAACACAGGTTAACAGGCACTTTTAGCTTCCAGGATAGGGAAAATTTTGCCATAAGGGTAACATCTTACCTTTATAGTAATCTCAACCTCAAACACATTCTGGCCTCCTACAGGAGGCCTGGTCGTCTGGGCATGCTGGTGGCTGCAGACTCCTAGGAAAGTCACAATGATCAGTCCCTAAAAGAAATGCCATCAGGCTCCTCCCTGCCTGAGGTGCTCTGGTCCTTCCACATGGCGAACTCCATGTTGTTATGTTATGGGGGTGCTTTGGTGAATCTGGCTTTGTTCTAGCATCGAAGTGCTTGTTTCTATTTCTACTAAGAACACTGCGTCCATAGCCATTGCTTTTGATTTCCTGCCTCAATGTTGCCAGAGCATTTCCCCCCCCAAATTTAATTTCATATGCGTTTATAGAGTGTTTATGTTTTTGAAGCACTGTTAGAGAATCCAAGATGAATAGGACATGCTCTCTGCCCTCAACAAATGTATAGTCTATTTTAATTATGTGTTTCACTATGTCTTTGCTTTACACTATGATGCACAACCATATAACCAAACCACCAAATTCTGTCTCTTTCCATGGTTGTATTATGGAAAGCTATAGGTGGGTTAGGACATTGCTTGCTGTTTTTTGGTTTTAAACCATTAAATGACAACCATGTCAGAGTGATATTGGTTAAAAGACCGTAGAAAACCTGTGGCCAATCTCAATTGGATTAACGGCCCGGAGTGAGATAAGTGCCCATCTTGCCCTGTGTGTTGGAGGGCTATTTTGTCTGCCTTGCACATGCCCACTGGTGCTCCCCTTCCTATCTGCTTCCACCAGAGACTGCCTTCTCTTCCAACTCATGCTTCTCCCTCCCAGATGACCTGCTCTCCAGCCTCCATGGAGCCACCCAGGAGTGCACAGCTTATCCAAGTCCCTTCCTGAGGACACTCGGACCCGTGCCAGTGAGAGCATCGTTCAATGTAGCTGAAGCTGTGCAAGGAGAGTCCAGGGCCTGCTGGTGGTATATTGTGGAGAGCACAGTCTGCAGGAAGGGAGAAGGACGAAGTCACAGAGGAAGCGGAGAGATGAGAGTGGGCATCCTAGGGACCTGTTGGGCCCTGCTTGTGCCTTTCATGATCCTGTGTGAGATATCCCATAATCTGCCCAATGAATTCAAGTAGTTGCTTGCTTAAATCAGTTGCACAAGTTAGTTCAATTTTAGTCCTTAAGTTAGGACTTTGTCACTTAAGAACCAAAGTGGCCTGATGCTCCATTTCCAGAGCCGGGCTACTCACCATTCAACACCTAGCCTGAAACAGTATAAAAATAATAGGGGCCATCCCACAGAGCTTTCTCTGTTACAGTTCACATTTTTGTACTTGGGCCAAACCCACTTTGCATTTCCTGTCTTACCCCCGCAGAGACTGGCATCTGGGAGGTTCAGATACTTCAAATAGCACATGGACAGCAATGCTGGAACATGACTGGGAGAAGTAAGAACATTCATTTCCATCAAGAAGAAGCCATAAGCCTCCTCATTAAATGGCCAGGGACTCTAGCTAATCTTAACATTAAGGCCCTTTGTGCACATCAAGGGGCTCTCCTTCCACCAACTGTCCTTCCACTCCTCACCACACACAGACCTGCATTGTCAAACTTAAGATCAGACTTGGATCCAACAAGAAGTGCTGTCTCCTTCAAGAGCTTACATCTAAGCAGCTCCGGTTGATTATACCAAGCATTTTGATTCCCTACATGAACTTTATATGGAGCAAGTCATATTTTACACAGCATGAAAAAGAGCCATAAGCATTTAGATACTCCATGAGAATAGAATAAAATTCCAGAGGATAAATGCTTCTTTACAAGCCCAAGTAGCTCAATTAGTCACTCCTGCCTCTGGTATTGAGAGAAACTTAAAATAAATATCTTTGGGAGAATTTTAGAGAACAAGACATTGGCTAGAATTTGCTCTGTGTGAAAGAATCAGCTTCAGTTTCATGAAAGTCTAACATCTAAATCAAATGAATGTTTAGTTGGCCCAAGATTAATTGTCCAACATCTCGATGAAAAGGACTGATTAAATACCACTGACTATGAATTTGGGTGAAATCAATCATTTATATAAAGCTTGGGTACAAATTGTTTTTCCAGAATAGCTTTTGTTTTTTCATCAAAATTCCTGATGATGGCAAAAATGCAGAGCCCAGAGTAGACTTTAGTCATTCATGCCCTGTTGCTGCAAATCCAATTATTATTACTGCCAACAAAACAAGGCCTTTCAATTTCCCCACAGACATTAGACATTCAAATAGTTGGGAGATTATTTAAATATCAATTATTAAAGCTATCCAGGCTATGTTGTATAGACAAATCCCTCACCCCAGCTCTGTGCCTCTAGAAAAGAGTGAATTTAAAGCTTGTTTATTGGTATAATCAACTTCCATATCAAACACGAATGGCAAAATCTATAGCGTTTCCAAGACTATGATTTTGAGCCTTCAAATGTACTGTTAGAGTTGCCACTTTCATTCATAGAGGGTGTGTGTCTTTTGGTAAAGTCTGTGATAAATTCAGTGGTTCTACTCTGAATTCAGTACCAAGCTGAAACTGGCAGAGATGGAGATGGGAACAAAGAACCTCCCATGAAGGGCAGTCCCCAGAATGATTTTCTTAGCTTCTTCATTCCTGTGCCTGACATGCTGACAGGAAGCCATTTCATTGGGTTTCTCCTCCCCTAAGGAACTAAGTGTGCTGGGGGCCACTATCCGTCAATTATCCTTAAGATCAGTCCAGTTTTCTAAGGGTAAGGCTGCAGCTGGGAACAACTGGCATAGAGAGCAGCTCAGTTTTGCTGACGAGGAGATGAGAAAGGTTGGAAAGAAAGGACATTGCCAGGCTCAGTTATAAGCCGTGTGGGGAGGTCTGACCCTCTGTGTAGAACTGGGGAGCTGGATCCTGGCAACAGGGAAATGCAGAAAGAAGATTATCAGAGGGAGAAGGCCGAGATGAGTGTGGGGGAGGGCACCACCTGCTCTTTTCTTCTCTCCAGGACCAGCCCTGGTGAGATGCAGCTGAAGCACAAGAAGACGCAGGTGACGATCAATAAACAAATAAACATCAGGAGAGGTGCGGTGCCTCATGCCTGTAATCCCAGCACCTTAGGAAGCCGAGGCAGGAGGATTGCTTGAGACCAGCCTGAGCAACATAGTGATCTGTGTCTACAAATTTTTTTTTAAAAATTAGCTGGGCGTGGTGGCATATGCTGTAGTCCCATCTACTAAAGAGGCTAAGGCCGCAGTGGGCTATGATTGCACCACTGCCCTCCAGCCTGAGCGACAGAGATCCTCCCTCTAAAATAAATAATATTTTGAAAAACAAGTAAGTAAATACAGCCAACCCCAACCCTCATCAGTTTTAAACTAGAGAAAGTGTGATGGAACAAGGTAATATTGGGAGCCAAAAGGCAAAACCAAAAAATCCAACCAGCCAAACAGGCAAAAAAAACAAAAACAACAAAACCCCCAAAAACCAAAGCA